TAAACCCTAAACCCTAAACCCTAAACCCCAACCCCCTAGACCCCCCAAACCCGCACCTCAACCTCCAAGCAGCCATGCGCCGCCCAGCGCCGGCACCATGCCCGTGAGCTTTGACTTTGGAGAGGCGCCTTTCCTCAGGTTTAGAACGTTTAGGGTTTAGGGTTTAGGGTTTAGGGTTTAGGGTTTAGGGTGCATTTTGGGTTTAGGGTTTAGGGCTTCATGTTTAGGGTTTCGGGAATGCTGTGATATGGGAAGAAGCTGTGAAGGTTGGGATGCAGACTAGCCTGGAACGGCGGAGCGCAGCCATGGCCCGATTGTGGAGGGCCGTTTAAGGTTTAGGGTTTAGGGTTTAGGGTTTAGGGTTTAGGGCATGGGGTTTAGGAATTAAGGTACCCGTTTGTATAAGACAAAGAAAAGTGGCCTCTATGACGTCCCTAAAAAGCCATAGAGCCCAGAGCCCGAAAAAGCACCAGCGATACTGAACACACAACCTGAGAACCCACAACTCTCACGCGCCACAGCCCCAACGACCCCCACAAAGGTCAGGGTTTAGGTTTTTTTTCCGGTTATAGGGTTAGAGGGGTATAGGGCTTAAAGGGTTTACTGTATATTATACGGTTTATAGGGTTTAGGGTTTAGGTTTCATAAGTTTCAGAACTGAACAAAAAGCAAAACCCGAAACCCCAGACCCTAAACGAACTCCGCCACCATGGTCTCGTGAGCTGGAGTGTTTTAGTCCTCCGGGTCAAGCTCTGCCTTGGGGACCAAATGAACCCTAAAACGCCGATGCTATTAGAATTCCTACTTGGGTTTAGGGTTTAGGGGTTTAGGGTTTAGGGTTTAGGGTTTAGGGTTTAGGGTTTAGGGTTTAGGGTTTAGGGTTTAGGGTTTAGGGTTTAGGGTATATGAACCATAAACCAGGGTTCGTTTGGTCCCCAAGGTATAGAGCGTCCTCGCCCACACAGTTGCTCAGGTTGTGCCGTCGAGGTTGTAGGATGCGGGGCCTCTTGCAAGGGTTTGGGGTTTAGGGTTTAGGGTTTAGGGTTTAGGGTTTAGGGTTTAGGGTTTAGGGTTCCAATGGTGTGTGCCCTTTGCGTTCTCCCTATGGCCCCCCCCCCCCCCCCCCGCAATAAGTGAACCCTAAACCTTGGAGCCCTAAACCTTATAGCCCAAAGCCCTGAGCCTTAGAACCATAACCTTGGAACTCTGAAACCCTAAACCTTCGAACCGATAACCCCCAAGCCAATAGAACCTTGCACCCTCAAACCCTGAACCCTGAACCCTGCCCCACGTGGTTGGTTTAGGGTTTAGGGTTTAGGGTTTAGGGTTTAGGGTTTAGGGTTTAGGGTTTAGGGTTTAGGGTTTAGGGTTTAGGGTTTAGGGTTTAGGGTTTAGGAACCCTCCAATGCCAAAGAAGGCCCCCCCAAACATGGACGAAAACCCCACCAACCCCAAAACCCTCAACCAACTGAAGCCTCAAGCCTAAACCCTGGACCATAAAATCTTCAATCCCTAATCCCCATGAGGTTTAGGGTTAAGGGTTTGGGGGTTCAGGGCTTAGGGACACCAACACCGTGGACCCCGAGGAGAACCGGCCAGAGCACCTAGCGGGACGGCCGAAGACGCCCATCACGCTCTTGGGCGGCTTCCTGGGCTCAGGGAAGCCTTGGACGCAAGGGGGATTTGTGGGTTTAGGGTTTAGGGAGTTTAGGGAGTTTATGGGGGCTTGGAGAGTTTAGGGTTGCAGGGTTCAATTAAGCAGGGGCTGCAAAGGGGTTTAGGGGGTTTAGGGTTGCAGGGTTCAGGGTTTTTTGGGGTCGTTGGGATCTCAAGGTGGTTTGGGGCTTGAAAGTGTTCAGACCTTTCGACCGCAAGGGTTTAAACCGCATTCGGTTCTTGGGTTTGCTCGAGGACTGTTTTTTTTGGGTTTGGGGTTTTCTGGTTTTGCGTTGAAGCTAACTAAGATGTGCTTTGAATGCTTTGGGGGTTTAGAGGGGTTCAGGGTTCCGGTTCTCGGGGCTTTAAATTTGTATCCCGTTAAGGACATAAAGTTTATTGGGCTTAAAGGGTTGGGGACTGGGGGTGTAAAATTAGATATGGTCAGTTCTCAAAATTTTGGTCCTTTTCTGGGTACCGGTACCCCAAATACTAGGGGCCGCCTGACAACAGTAAGCCCAAAAGGGACCCGAATGTAGAGAATCTCGCATATAGCGTGCTTCCTTCCTCAACATGACGATGTTCGAGAGCGAGTGTATTTGCTTGTGTTCTAGAACTCCTTTTCTGGGGTTCAAGGGGCAGGGTTTTAGGGTTTAGGGTTCAGGACGTAGGACGTGGGGCTGATCAAATGTATGGGGCTTTATGGGCGTCTGAACCTTCAGGAAGTATGCAACCGACATGAATCGATCCCCAAATTGTACCCTAATTAAATGTCCCATGAAGGGAGGTTCCTTAAACTATGGAGCCCTCTTCAGCGGGTGCCACAACAAGGGTCGAGCTGTTAGAGGACCCCCCCTAAACCCTAAACCCTAAACCCTAAACCCTAAACCCTAAACCCTAAACCCTAAACCCTAAACCCTAAACCCCCCTCTCGTGGAATTCTACCTTGGGACCCCTAAGGTTGCGCCCTTGGGTTTGGGGGACCGCTTTAAGGAGTATGTGAAGGGAACCCTTTGTGGCCTTATGGGTACATCCTGAGGGGTCCGAGTACTAGGATTCCGGAGTAGGTCCTTATTTCCTTTTTTTAGGTTTTGGGTTCCCAAAAAATCCCCTTAAAACCCAAAAAAGGGGCACTCGTTTATTCCTAGGTTGCTCCTGGGTCTAGAGCATGACTCCCTTGAAGCTCAGGAAAACCACCCTTCTGAAGCATCTCCTGGAAAATCAGAGTGGCGTCCGGATCGGCGTCGTGGGGCACCCAGCAGTTCAATTTAGGGCTTGCCCGCCCAACAAGGCCTCCTCATCCCGATAAACCCGAACCCCTAAGCCCTACATAAACCCTAAACTGATCAGGTATTCCTGGTCCTTCAGCATTCTCTTGGTCCTCAGCATACCCTACATGACCCCACATAATCTTACCCTGCCATGGGCCCTTTGATCTCCTGAACCCTCGTCAGCAGCCCAGATTTTAGATCTCAGTTGGAGAAGTAGCCCGAAACTCTACACCCTTGGGAACCCTGAAAAAAATGAGGCGCCCAGAGCCCTCGCCAGGATGTATCAGTCCCGAAATGGTGTTTTGGTCTTTTACTTGTTCCATTGTTTTTGGGGTTTTGGGCTTAGGGTTTAGGGTTTAGGGTTAGCCTGTTCGAGGCAGCCAGGTGACAAGGTCACCAGACTCTTCTTGCAGCTCACCCTCTTCAAGCCGAAATCCACACGCCATGGGATATGCCTCTTCTTTTGCATGGATGCACGAATGATACACGAGAACCTGAAGACCTTGATCCCAGTTCTACGACACATAGCGTGGTCCTGCAACGTTGCCTTTTAAGGGCCGGTATCCCCGTTGCAGCTCCAATGAGGCGCCCTTGTCCCACGCCAAGCAGCACAAAGCTGGCCCAACCACCCGGCGGAAGCCTGCGCTATGCCTGTGCAGAGCTCAAGGGCGACTGGAAGTGGCACGAGCGGGTGGGTTTGGCTAACAGAATACTCCAGTTTCTCGAAACTGTTGCTTCCTGTGCAAGGCACAGGCTAGTGACTCGAGGCTCAGGTACTACGACAGCCCCGAAGTGGCGTTTTTTCTTGTTAATCGAAGTTGGGTACCTAGTTGGGGGGGAATCCTACTTTTAACAAGGGAAACCTCCTAATTGGGTCCTTTTTTTCAGAGGGAATCCTACTAATTGGGGCCCCATATACAAGGGGAATGCTACTAATTGGGTGTAATTTGGAGGGTCTCCTATTTTAAACCCCCCAAGTCGGAGCCTGAGAGGCTTCGGGCACATCTAAAATACTCAGACTTAGGGTTTAGGGTTTAGGGTTTAGGGTTTAGGGTTTAGGGTTTAGGGTTTAGGGGTTTATAGGGTTAACCCGAACCCTAAACCCTGAACCCTAAGTCATGCTGCTGGGCTTGCGCTCTCACACCACTCTGCCTCGAGGTTCAACCCCCTGTAGGCCCCTGTAGGCCCCTGTGTTAGGGTTTAGGGTGTAGGGTTCTTCTTATAAGGCGCGGTACTCGATTGCTAAGGGCCGAAAAAAGGACCCATAATTTCGAGAACTACCTGGGCAGTTCTCTAGATTCAGATGATGATGGGTCCTTTTCTTTGTGCTCTTAATACCAAGCTCCGCATCCTGCTGTAGAATCCCGCCCCTCACATGCCAGGTTCGGATTTTGGGTGCCTTCTGCCTCACCTGGAAACACTAGCACCCAAAACAAAGCCCCAAAGAAACCCTGCAGTTCCCTGGACGTCCTAAGCCATGGTCGATCATCCCTCCCGAAGCTGATTCACACCCTAAACCCTAAACCCTAAACCCTAAACCCTAAACCCTAAACCCTAAACCCTAAACCCTAAACCCTAAACCCTAAACCCTAAACCCTAAACCCTAAACCCTAAACCCTAAACCCTAAACCCTAAACCCTAAACCCTAAACCCTAAACCCTAAACCCTAAACCCTAAACCCTAAACCCTAAACCCTAAACCCTAAACCCTAACCCTAAACCCTAAACCCTAAACCGACACCCAGAATAAGCGAACCGCCAGACAACTGACCTAGAGGAAAGGGCCATTTACCTTCTTTTACATCAGGATCAGTAGCCTTGGAACCTTTGTAACTTCCTTATCTTAGTGGTTCTTAGTAGGCAATGAGGGAATTAGGCACCTCATACCCCCAAAAGGGGTTCTAGTTTAGAGAACTCACTCTGTACCCTTTAGGGGAACAGAAAGTGCCCGAAACGCTGAACCCTGAGTCTTAGGGTTTAGGGTTTAGGGTTAAGGGTTTAGGGTTTAGGGTTCAGGGTTTAGGGTTTAGGGAGTTTAGGGTTTAGGGTTTAGGGGCACTAAAGCAGGTGGTGAATGATGTGGCTTCCATCAACATCGACTCACAGCTCGTCCGACGGTATGAGCCTCTTCGACGCAAGGGCAGGAGCCCTACCCGAAGCCCTAAGCCCTAAACCCTAAACCCTAAACCCTAAGCTCTAACAAGTGTAGCATCGGATCCCGAGAGTTTGGGAACGGGAAGTCGGAAGGGCACCTTTCTAAGGGACTTTACAGGGGTGTAGGGTTTAGGGTTTAGGGCTACAGGGCCTAGAGTCAGGGTTTGTGGGTTAGAATTTAGTACTTTGAATCTAGGGTTTGGGTTTAGGGTTTGGGTTTGAAGTTCCCTGCCTCCCGACTAGGAGCCCGGAAGGAACCCGTGCAGGTGCACCAAGATCCACATCCGACACGCCCTTTTAGGGTTTAGGGTTTAGGGTTTAAGCTCTCAACTCGAGGCTACTAGCACCCTCAGTCCTATAATTACTTGGAAATAATTTCGAATTGTTTAGTTACCACATCCCTAAGGAACAGCTAAAATTGCGTCTTTTGCTAGGGTGCCAAGTTCAGTATAGCAGCAGGAGCCCCCAAACAGTTCAAGGTCTGCAAGAGGGGGCCTTAAGGCCAGCACTGAGAGGCGTAACCCTGGTGCTTCTGGACGCATCAACCCATGAATCCCGAACACCCTAAACCCCAAAACCTGAACCCTGCCCCCAAGTAAAACCCTACATCCCCAAAACTCTAAACCTCATCATCATCACCCATCACTCTTAAACCCTAAACCCCAAATCCCAAACCCAAAAACCCAAACCCAAGGTTCTAAACACAAAGTCGCTGGAAAGGTCCGGTCTCGTGGAAGTCAGCGAGCTGCAGAACGGCCGCGGAGCTGGCTTTGGGGTTTAGGCTTTATAGTTTAGGGTCTAGAGGTTTAGGGTTTAGGGCTCTGGGGTTGTAGGCTTAAGTTAGGGCTTAGTGTTGTGCTTTTGCAACAGCTAACTAGAAAGAACTGGGCGCACGTTCATTGCATTTGTGAATGAGTAAGCCAAGCGAGTGAGGGCTCAACAGTTTCATCAGTTTTCACTTGGGGGTTCATGCGGTCACAACCCCGCGAGAGGCGCCCAGGGGCATTGCTCCTGCTACTACGTTGCGCACACGATTTAGGGTCAACATCCATCCTCCCCCCCAAACCACAATACCCCGCGCGTGCTTTCGACGAGAGATGCCAGAAGTCTTGATGCACAATTGCAAGGTCCGGAAGGCTCAAGAGAAGCTTAAACAGAAGTGTAGCCGATTCCGAAAGCACGCTCTGCCGTCATCTCTCTTTCTCTACGCGTGATTCAGAGTGCGAAATTTCATGCGTGCGAAATAGTGGAAGCCAAGAGCACAAAGTAGATTGTATGGTTACATGGGCCATCGGCAAAATGTAATAAGCCCGTGTGTGAATAATGCAGAACACTGTGGAAGAAAGATACGATAAAGTTCCCCCGAATTCACAGCAAGACCGAATCCGGAATTCAGGAGTCCATTTGTAGTACGATTGTGGCAGCAGGTACCCAAAAGCCATCCCGAATAGGGTTTTGGGTGCCTACTTCTGTGATAGTACTACAAATTCAAACCTCCGGGTTGTGAGTCTCATGAACCCGACGTAAGCTTTACAAAACCTAAACCGCCCGGAGCCCTGGGCTGCTCCAAGACCCCGAACGCGCTTTGGCAGAATCTTCATAAACTTAAAGAGCCTCAATACCCCTAAGTCCCAATTTCCACCACCACCCCAAGCCCTCCCTAAACCCTGAACCCCAAACCCTGAACCCTAAACCCTCAACCCTAAACCCTGAACCCTAAACCCTAAACCCTTAAGACTCCGCGCAGAGGGTGCGTCTGCTGCTCCTCTGCCGACGACCTCTTCGCAGCGGTCCAGGCCATTGTCATGCGGTCGAAGGACGTGGGGGTTTGGGGTGCGGTTAGGGTTTAGGGTCTGGGGTTGAGGGTTTAGTGTTCAGGGTTTAGGGTTTGGGGTTTAGGGTTTAGGGTTTGGGGTTTAAGGTTTAGGGTTTAGGGTTCAGGGTGTAGGGTTTGGTCTCTACCAGAAGGCTAAATGGCCATTTCTTGCTCAAAATGACGGTCCCTGTTTGGGTATCCTGCACATGAGGTCATTTCTCAGAATTACGGTCCCCGTTTGGCTATCCTCCTTAGAATAGCAACCCCACAGGGACCCTAATTTAGAGAATCCCCCCCAAATCCGGAGGGTCTGGGGTTTAGGGTTTGAACCCTAAGCCCTTGCCAAATCCTAAGCCGTACAAACCCTGTCAACCCTATCAACCTTTCAACCAAACTCTATAAATCCAATACGCCCCAAAAACCTTTAAACCCTATGAACCCTCTAAAACCCTAAACCGTAAACCCTCAACCCTTAACCCTCAACGCTCAACCCTCAACGCTCAACCCACAACCCTCAACCATAACAACCCCCCCCCCCCCCCCCGAAAAAAAACCCTAAACCCTGGAGGACCATCCCTTTGAGCATGTGCGGTGGAGTTGAGCGGTGTCCGGCGAGCCGGAGGTGTGCCCCCCCCGCAAGCGGACTTTGTATAACGCCTGATGAAGATCCCGAATTCCCCAAACCCTTAACAAAAACATAAACCCTAGACCCTAAACCCTAAACGCTAAACCCTCCACAACCCCGCCCAGACCACAAAGGTAAAGGTCCCTCCCCTCGAAAGATCAGCCAGTGAACAAAACTGCATACCAAATATTTTCAACCGCACTCCAAAGTTCGGATCACATACCCATGCTAACAATAAGCCCTGTATTCAGGCAGATGCACGATAAAACACCACAACCCTGTAAGCCCTGAACCACAGCTGCCTGCAGGTATCGTAGCCAAGCCCTTCAGCTCGGATTGAAGCCTATACTTCTGTGCGCTTACACGTCTTGGACTCTTAGGGACCCTGGTAATCCCTTCGTAGCCCGGGAGACTTATAGGGAGCTTTCGGCAACCCAAACCCCGTAACCCAAAGTTCGAAGCCCTAACGCCCAAAACCCTCACCCTAGGCCCTAAAATCTAATCCTAAACCCTAAACCTGAACCCTAAACCCTAACCCTAAGTCCTGGGCAGTCCGTGCGCCGGAACTGGCGTTGCACTGGACTGCCAGCTCCCAGTCGCCTTGCGCTCCGAGGCCCTTTCTGGGTAATGGTAGGGTTGAAGTGTTTTGGGTTGGGTTTAGGGTTTCGGGTTTAGGGTTTAGGGTTTAGGGTTTAGGTTTAGGGTTTGGGGTCGGAAGAATTACTCATAGTCTTTGTCATAGTGGGGTAACATTTTACATCTCTAGGGCACTTGAACTCAACAAGGAAAAAAGAATTTTGGTTTTTTTGACTATCCCAACCATGACTGCAAATATTCCCTTATGGTCCCTTGTACTTTTCTATAATCACCCCGAAAACCCTATTGATAGTTGCTCAGGCCCTTTGTGGGTAGCAGGTTTAGGTTTTGTAGGGTCATTACGATTGGGGGTGTGCGCACCAGAGCATTCGGCTTTTAAGCTTAGGCTTTGTGATGCCATGTTGCCTACAGGGGTAGGGATTCATCGCGTTCAAGGTGCAGGGCTTGTAGTGTGGGTGGGGGGGGTGTAGGGTTGGAAATTGGGAAGCTCACCTTAAACCCTAAGTCCTAACGCAAAACCCTAAAACCCTAAACCAGCCCTTGTGCTTGAGGTTTGAGGGTGCGGGTGTGCCAGAAGAGGCCCCGGTCCAGAGTTCACAGCCCAATTTTTGGGTTTATTTGGTCCCCAAGGCATCTTGGCTTGACTAACCTTCTGGTTTGGGGTTTTTTGGTTTATATAATCCTAGTATACACAGAAAAAGGTCAACCTTTTTTGGGCTAGGGTGTTCAGCGCTAAGAAGACCAAAGCCCCGATCCGAACAGAGTTGCGCGCATCCTGCTTCAGGTGGCGCGCGTGGTGACCGTGGTTGACGCTTCTTGGCAGCATCATGCAACCCTAAACCCTTTATAAACCCTAAACCCTAAACCCTAAACCCTAAACGAAGGGACTGGAACTGCCGGAATATGGAAGTTGGAGGAGGGTCGGGGCCCCCTCTTTGCAACTCCTACCTCGATCCTTTGTTGGAATCCCTTTGCAGGGCTTTGCGTCCGTTTGCTTATGGTTAGGTTTTGGGCTTGGGTCGTTTTTTCGTTTAGGGTCTAGGGTGTAGGGTTTAGGGTTTAGGGATAGGGCTTGCAAGCTCAGCGTTTGTGGTGTTGCAAGGTTCCTAGAAATTTTTCCTTTGCCCCTTTGCCTGCATCTTATGCAGAGGGGTTGCGAGCCCATGTGGGCCTTGCTTTCCATTAGGCTTAAACATTTAGGAAACGGCAAAGAGGCCAGAAAGATGGGTCGTCTAGAGGAAGCCCAGGGGGTACCCGTTCGTACCCTGGTTGGGTTTAGGGTTTAGGGTTTAGGGTTAGGTTTAGGGTTTAGGGTTGTGGGTTTTGGGTTTAGGGTTGAGGGTTAGGGCTGACCCCCCACTTGGGGCATTCGGCTTCAGGTTTCGGTGCAGGGTTTTGGCGGATCTGTGATGTGGGCTGTGGGATTTATAGGGGAATGAGGGAACCCATACCCAGGATCAAAGCGAAACCCTGTACGAACCCCTAACCCTAGGTTTTAGGGTTTAGGGTTTAGAGTTTCGGGTTTAGACCCAAAAAGACCCTTCTGAGGCGAGCACGTTTTCTCGCGATTGGCTCGACTCTCGCCAGGCGCGCTCCCAGCCAGAAGCGATGTGCCAGAAGCGATGTGCTTGAAATTCAGGGTTTTGGGTTTCAAGGACCTGCTTTGTAAGGGGTTCCAAGACAACAAGTACAGAATTCGGCCGTGCTTTAGAACAGCACCCATGCGCGCGCACATCGTTCTCGGGATCAAAGGTGGCTCGATGCAACTAAACCCTACAAACCCTCAGAGGTTTAGGGTTTAGGGTTTAGGGTTTAGGGTTTAGGGTTTAGGGTTTAGGGTTTAGGGTTTCTGGTTTAACGAAGGGTGCCCTGCAGGGGTTCCAGTGTACAGGTTAGGGTTGATGTTTCTGCTCGGTTGAACCCAAAAAACCCTCAACTCCACGCACGAAAGCCCTCAGCCCTAAAACCCTCAAACCCACCCAGCCAATATTTCCACTAACTTCGGGTTTAGGCCGAAAGTTTCGGGGTTTAGGGTTTTAGGGGGGGCCTAGGGCCTCAGCTCTTAAAGATATGGACCCGGTAGAGGCGCTGGAGCGAAATCGACTGGAGGAAGTGCGCTCGCACGCGCCATCGAAGATGCTCGTCTGCAGTGCTTGTAATACAGGGATGACCGCAGTCTAGGTTCTTAAAGGGTCCATGTACATATATAGTTCCTTTTACCTATATAGTAGATACTTGGGCCTTAAAGGGGGTCCTATATAGTAGCTTTAGGTTCCAAGTATATACTATAAAGGTACATGGACCCTTAGGGGTTGTTCAAGGGCCCCCCTCGAGTTTAAGAACCTTCTTGAAGCACGCAGCAGCTACGGGCCCTTCTGCCAAGTTTGTGTTCAGGGGTTTTCGCGTTTAGGGCTTTATGGGTTTCTAGGGTTTTTAGGGTTTAGGGTTTAGGGTTTAGGGTTTAGGGTTTAGGGTTTAGGGTTTAGGGGGTTTAGGATTAGGTTGCAGCACGTTCGGGGGGCGTTTGGGGTTTTTTTTGAGTTGAGGACTTAGGCCATCAAGGCTCTCAGGGCTCATCTTCGCAGTTGTGTTCAGGGTTTAAGGGAACCGCAGACTATGCTCGATGTGACGTCCACAGGTTCAGGGGCATTTGGGTCTGAGTTTTTTGGTGACTTCGGTATCAGGTAAGGTGCTTGTCTGCGCCTGCTTTGTGCTCAGCTGGGCTTCATGACCAGCAGGAGCAACAGAAAAGTACTATTGTTTCCGCTACCAGCGACAGACACAGCACGGGCAAGGGGAACATGGATATGGCCCCTAACCTCAAAACCTGCCCGAGCCTTGAGTTTGCGGGATCCTCTTGCCCTCATAATCCGAACCCTGAACCTTAGGTCAGGTCTCTTATGCAAAAGCCCTCGTTCGTAGGTAAGCAGTGCCCATGCACCCTAAACCCTAAACCCTAAACCCTAAACCCTAAACCCTAAACCCTGAACCCTGAACCCTAAACCCTAAACCCTAAACCCTAAACCCTCAACCCTCAACCCTAAACCCTAAACCCTGAACCCTAAACCCTAAACCCTAAACCCTAAACCCTAGGTCAGGTCTCTTGTGCACAAGTTCGTAGGTAAGCAGTGCCCATGCACGGTCCTCATGTCCTCTGCGCTTACTTCGACGGCTGACGTGCGGACACACGATGACTTCCCTGACTGCTTTGCATGCACACTGGGGAGAGCAGTCTTCAGGCGGCTGCATATCCCTAAACCCTAAACCCTAAACCCTAAACGCCCCAAACCCCAAACCCCTGGGGTACCAAAATCCGAGCCCCATGCAACCCAGCGTTATCGTCGGCGGTCTGTCCGTCCGTGCATCTGCCTCCCTCTCTCTCTTTCTCTTCCTCTGCTCTCTTGCTCGTTGCATTCGTTGCTACTTAATGCGTTTTTGTTCTTCTCTCTGCTCTCTCACGTCTCTACCTCTCTCTTTGTCTCTTTCTCTACACGCTTCGGGTTTGATCTCGAACGCTCTCCCCTAGGTGCCTTGCGCAGTTCAAATCGCGATGACCTTCTAGATTCTCGATCCCTAAGGGTCCATGTACCTAAATATGGAATACTTCGGCCGTAAAGTACTTCCTATTTAGGGACTTTAGGGCCCAAGTACACAATAATGAGGTACATGGACCAGCACTGTAGGGGATTCTAGATTGGCTTCCTATAGAGGTCCCGTGCACGTTCCGTATAGTGGATCCTGTGCTCCCAAACCGGCGGAGTCTGTCGTGTTCCACTATGTTCTTCTCGCACGCGAACTTCAAAGCGACGTACACACACACACACACACACACGCACACACACACACACACACACACACACACACACACACACACACACACACACACACACACACACACACACACACACACACACACACACGCACACGCACACACGCACACTCGCACACACGCACACACGCACGCACGCACACACCCGCATGCACACACCCGCACGCACACACCCGCACGCACACACACACACACACACACACACACACACACACACACACACACACACACACACACACACACACACACACACACACACACACACACACACACAGATGTGCAACGCCTACCCCAGTTTTAAAGAGGTGGACGTGCCAAAGCGCGGCTTGTGCTCGCCTTCCCCGCGGGGCGATATTCCTCTGCCGCAACTGTGCTGCACCTTGCCCTCGATGTGGAGAGCTTCCAGGCAGGTTGCACGTTTCTCCGGTGCCAGAAGATTTCATAGGATGTATAGTGAGAGGGAATTTATCGACCTCGACCCCTAAACCCTAAATCTCCCTAAACCCTAAACCCTAGACCTTAACATTCAGTGGTTGTCTGTGACAGGTGTTTGGGCTTCTGGAGCACAGTTTTGCTTTTTGACCTCTTGCTTCAAGCGCTTCGAAGTTGATACGCCCTCATACTATAACTGAACATCAGACCTCATGGTTAGCCCTAAGGAAGGCTCCAAATAGCCAAAGTAGGTACTATTTGCAGACTGTCGACCCCAAACTGCTGTTTGTACACTTGGAGGTTTACCCTAAGGGTCCATGTACCTCATAAATTGTGTACTTGGGCCCTAAAGTCCCTAAACAGGACATATTTAGGTACATGGACCCTTAGGGTTAGGGTTGAGGCGTCTAAGGACAGGTGGCTTGTTCTGGCCTCCATTTCTTCCAGTTTGATGGGGTTCAACTCGAGACTTAAGCCCTGCAAGCTTGGACCTGCAATCAGCAATCTTTTGGGGCTTTGGCTCCTTTCTTTGCTCATACTAGCTTAGCCCCACGCCCTAAAGCCAAGCCCTCCCCCCCCCCCAGAGATGATAGCAAAAATGCACTGGGAGGCGATGAGGGCTGGGATTTGGTTAGCAGCTTGCCCTCCTCCGCCACAGATACTTTCTCAGCAACTGGATTTATTGTTTTTGGCTGTGGGGTCTGTGTGGTTTCGGGTTTAAACCCTTAACGGGATCCATTTTTTGGATCCTCCCAGGGGTCTGGGTTGTCGCAGAAGTGAGGACAGCTTGAGCTGCTTTGCAGAGACCAGCCGAAGCTCCTCGGATCTTTCCCGCCAAGCTCCTTGGTCTCGACTTGTATCACAAGGACATCTTTTCTTGCGCAGGGGGTGAGGGTTAGGGTTCAGGGTTGTCTTGGTGGGTGGTTTCGGGTTTGGGGTTCTTGTTGAAGATGTGTGAACTGTGGGGTCCTCTTAGCTCGAAAGTCCCGAAAGTTGCCCTTGCGCTGCAGCCGTGCACTGGTTGAGGGTTTGGGTGTTTTTAGTGGTTAGGCTTCATGCCTTCCCTGCTCTTCCCCCCGCCTTTGAGCCCTAAATAAGAAGACTTGAATAGCAGACCTTTGTGATCATCGGAAGTTATAATAGTAGTTCACTGATATAGCGATGCTCTCATTTGTGGTAGGGTTTGCAGCCACAGGTTTTGGCAGTGCTCGACCGAGCAGCTCAGCCCCTCACGTCTATCGCAGTTGCGCGACAGTGTGGTCTAGAGAAGGCGGCGGAGGTGAACCCCACGCTGTATCTAGACAGTTTATGAAAGCTGGGTTTCATCAACCTTTGCTGGGTTATACATCAATATTGTATTCATATAATTCTAACATGTTATACAAGGCTCATGTTCGAAGAGCAGTTCAGGTATGCTTTGCATTCGGCCGGGAGTATTTCTCTGAGCCGAAATGGTCAGCAGCCGCTGTGGCATCTACCAGGTCGGCAGGCAGAGACGGCGCCGAGATCACAAGCGTATCCTGTCGCCACACTTCCAAGTGTGCGAGAGGATGCACTCCATAGTCACTCTGGGTTTTGGAGTACTGTACTTTAATACTTTTTTTTGGTTCTGGGTTCCTACGATAGCTACTTATTACCTAAAATGTATATACTTTTTTTCCAGGGCCTACTCCAAAGGTAGGCACTCTGTGAGCCACTCTGTGAGCCCTTTTGATCTTTTTATATTTTCCCTTCTTGGGTCTCAGAGGGTTAGATTGAGGAATATTGTTTTCAGGGTTTCAAGGGTCATCCTAGGTCCTTTGGGAGCTACCATTCTGCGTGCCCTCAGGGAAGAAGGCTCGCCTCTGACAGCTATTTGCATTGCCCGGCGCTGTGGCTTGCAGAAAGCGGCCGAAGTCAATCCGACCCTTTACAAGATGCGGGACATGGGTGCGGTGGTTCACACCCAGGGAGGCGGAAAGCCTGCATGGTCCGTCCCCAACTGACGTGAGCAGGCATGAAGGCCCTTGCCACAAATGGTCGTATGTCGTGCTGCATTGATGTTGCTTCGACACACGAAAAGAGGTGATCTGAAATGGATGCCTCAAGCATCGTGGAGTCAAAGAAGTTCGATGCAGCCCCCTAGAATTGCAGTATGCTTTCGTGCTTCGTGGTTTTAATGACGAGTGTGATCGGGGGTTAGAGAGAAGTTTAGGGGTTAAGGGCTTGAACCCACAACCCCAAGCCCTAAATAAAGTTTCAGCACTTGAGCTCCGGGATTATAGGCCTCAGGTCCTCCAGTTACATTCGAAGTCCCGCGTTTGGGAGCCTGCGCCGTAAGTTTTTTTGGGGTGCCCTAAAGCCTGAACCTTAACCCACCAACCCTATGAGTCTAATAGACCGTAAACAGTAGCAGCGACGGGCCCTTCTGCCAAGTTTGGGTTTAGGGTTTAGGGTTTAGGGTTTAGGCTTTAGGCTTTAGGCTTTAGGCTTTAGGCTTTAGGCTTTAGGCTTTAGGCTTTAGGCTTTAGGCTTTAGGGTTTAGGGTTTAGGGTTCAGGTTTAGGTTGTTTGGGGTTGAGGGTTGAGGGTTGAGGTTGCAGGACTTGTGGGGCGTTTGAGGTTTATGGGTTCGGGATGCGGTTGTGCTCAGGGTTTCGGGTTTAGGGTTTATAGGGTTTAGGGTTTAGGGTTCAGGGTTCAGGGACCCACAGACTTTGCTCGGCAGGACGTCCACAGGCTTAGGGGTTTTGGATCTGAGTTTTTTTGTGACTTCGGTTTGAGGAAAGGTGCTTGTTTACGCCTTCTTTGTGCTTAGCAGCCTTTTGTGACCAGCAGGAGCCCAAGCTCTAAACCCTAAACCCTAAACCCTAAACCCTAAACCCTAAACCCTAAACCCTAAACCCTAAACCCTAAACCCTAAACCCTAAACCCTAAACCCTAAACCCTTACCCCCTAACCCTAAAGTACTGCTGTTCCACTACCAGCGACAGACGCGGCCTCAACCTTAACCTGCCTGAGACTTGAGTTCGCAGGATCCTCTTTCGCTGCCCTCACACTACGGGTCCATGTACTTAAATATGGAAAACTTGGGCCTTAGGGTTTAGGGTTTAGGGTTTAGGGTTTAGGGTTTAGGGTTTAGGGTTTAGGGTTTAGGGTTTAGGGTTTACTTAAAGTACCTCCTATTTCGGGACTTTAGGGCCCAAGTACACAAGAATGAGGTACATGGACCCTTAGGGTTATACAATCCCGCACCCTAAACCTTAGGTCTCTTATGCACAAGCCCGCGTTCGTAGGGAAGCAGTGCCCATGCACAACAGTCCCCATGTCTTCTGCGCCCACTTCGACGGCTGACGTGCGGACCCACGATGGCTTCCCTGACTGCTTCGTATGTACAACGGGGAGAGCAGTCTTCAGGCGGCTGCATACCCAAATCCGAGCTCCATGCAATGCAGTGTTAGCTTCGGCTGTCTGTCCGCCCGTGTATTTGTCTCCCTCTCTCTTTCTCGCTCTCTGCTCTCTTGTTCGTTGCATTCCTTGCTACTTAAATGTTTTTTGTTCTCCCTCCTCTCTCACACGGTCTCTATCTCTCCCCCTCTCTGTCTATGTCATTTGTCTAAACCCTAAACCCAAAACCCAAAACCCTAAACCCTAAACCCTAAACCCGTTCAGGGTTTAGGGTTTAGGGTTTAGGGTTATAGGCGCCTCGCGCCGTTCAAATCGCGACATATGACCTTCTGTGTGTTTCCGCATGCCCGTGCCCCTCTCCCCTCGCCTTAATAGAGAGTCCAAGTCGCTCTCCCGCCTTTGGAGCCCTAAGGGTCCATGTACCTAAATATGGAATACTTGGGCCTTAAAGTACCTCCTATTTAGGGACTTTAGGGCCCAAGTACACAAGAATGAGGTACATGGACCCTTAGGGTAGTGGTCCTGTGCACCTGTTTTGAGGCTTGCGCCGCTCCCCTCTTTGGGGTCTTTCCCGGCGTAGTCTGTCGCACTACAGACACGGAGGTTGCATTCTTCTCTCACGCGAATTCAAAGCCATGCGAATTCAACGTTCACACGCAGATGTGCACGCCTACCCATGCAGTTTTTAAGAGGTGGACGTGCCAAAGCGCGGCTTGTGCTCGCCTTCCCTGCGGGGCGATATTCCTCTGCCGCGACTGTGCTGAACCCTGCCCTCGATGTGGAGAGCTTCCAGGCAGGTTGCACGTCTCTCCGGTTCCAGAGGATTTCATAGGACGTAGTGAAAGGGAATATATCGACCTCGAGAAGTCCTCACCCTAAACCTTGGTATAAGCCCCGCAATTTCCCTATAAACCCTAAACCCTCAAGAACATTTGAGGGTCTGGAGCGCACTTTGCTTTTTGACCTATTGCTTCCAGCGACTCTAAAGTTGCAGATTACCCTATAAATCCTTTAAACACTAGACCATCCACATGCCCCTCGCTCCCCACGCCCGCCACCCGGTTTAGGGTTTAGGGTTTAGGGTTTAGGGTTTAGGGTTTAGGGTTTAGGGTTTAGGGTTCAGCGTTTAGGGTTTCACCCCCCTCCCCCCCCCCCCCCCCCCCCCCAGAAGCAAAGCAGAACACACTGCACCGAGAGGCGATGAGGGCTGGGATTTGGTGAGCAGCCTGCCCTCAGATGCTTGTTCAGCAACTCGAATTTGTTGGACCTTGGGTTTGTGTGGTTTCGGGCTTAGGGTGCAGGAAGTGAAAGATGTTTTGAGTCCTTGGCTGTTGCAAAGAACCCTACACCACAAATCCTAGACCAACCCTGCCGGCGGGAGCCCCCTCAGTTATAAGTAGAGGCATACGGACCCTAAATTATGTTATAAGGATCCTAACTCAGGTCATAAAAGTCCCTAAACTACAGTAAGTATAGTAAGGGGGCCCCTTGTGGTCGTGGCAGAAGTGAGGACAGCTTGGGCCGCTTTGCAGAGCCCGGCCGAAGCTCCTCGGATCTTTCCCGACAAGCACCTTGGGCTCCATCGCAGGGGCATCTTTGTTGTAGGGTGGATTGTTGTGTAGGGGGCTATATAGCTATACATACATATATATATAGGTGTATCTATATATATATATATAACTATTTTGTTTTTAGGTTTAGGGTTCAGGGTTGTCTTGGTAGGCGGTTTCGGGTTTAGGGCCTCTTGGTTGGGTTTGTTGAAGATTTGTTGACAGTGGGGCCCTTCTTAGCTCGAAACTTCCTTGCGCTGCAGCTCCAGGCTTCTTTTGAGCATTGTGCCTTAGGGTTTAGGGTTTAGGGTTTAAGGTTTAGGGTTTAGGGTTTAGGGTTTAGGGTTTAGGGTTTAGGGCCACACCAAACCACACCCAATTGAATCTGAGCGCTGTGCCTTGCACACCAAATGCTACCCTATACTGCTATTGGGTCATTTTTAGGAACCCTTAAGGGGATCGATTTTTTTGGATATGTTAAGGGTTCCGGGTGGCCGGAAAGGAGAAAAAAAAAACGAGCTATAAAGCCACAAAAGCCAATCCAAGACCTTTAAAGCCTTTCAAGGCCCTACAAGCCAGCAGCTTGCGACATTCAGACGATAGAGCCCCGAAAAGGGAGCCCAACTCAGTTTCGCCCAGCCCTACCAACGGCACCAAATCCAAAACCCTCCTGCAGCAAAGCCCAAGCCCCCAACGCCAAACCCGACATCCGATCAACAACCCTAGACCTGAGGCCCTAAACCCTAGATCCTGAACCCTAAACCCTAAACCCTAAACCGATAACCCTAAACCCTAAACCCTAAACCCTAAACCCTAAACCCTAAACCCTAAACCCTAAACCCTAAACCCTAAACCCTAAACCCTAAACCCTAAACCCTAAACCCTAAACCCTACCGAGAGCAAAGCTCCACGCCCTTAGCATGTTTATAAGGCAGGCACCCAACCCAAGCCGAAGAAGAGGCGGCGAAGGAGAGCCATGGGTCGCGACTTTGTTTTCGGTTTAGGGTTTAGGGTTTTGGGGTTTAGGGTTTAGGCTTTAGGCTTTAGGCTTTATAGGGTTTATAGGGTTTTGGGGTTAGGGTTTTGGGTTTTGGGTTTGGGGGGGGGGGGGGGGGGGGGGGGGGGGTTTGGGGGTTTAGGGGTCCCGAGTGTTTGGTTTCAAAGATCCTGTTTCACGGTGTGGCGAAGCCACTCTTTGCTTGAACATACAAGACATAGCAGGCGGAGGAGTGTTGTTTTGGTTGCAAGTGCTGGGGCGGAGGAGTTTTTGTTTCTCAACAGTCCAGCCAGACATGCTTTTGGAGGTATGGCGAAGCTACCGTTTGCATGAAAGCCTGTAAAAGAAAGTGCGGCGGGATTTGTTTCTTCCTGGTCCTGTGGTCACGTGTACCTCTGGCCTTATGGTCCCCTGGTCCTGGTCCTGTATCTGCCCGCTCTTCTGAGCTGTACAAGTTTGCTTCAAAGCAAAAGCATCCTGCCCAACCCCTATCACGCGAGCATTGTGTTTGCAAATCGGGGGCTACGCGTGTTTTATGAACTCCGTGCAGTGCTTGCTTCAAAGCATATGACTTCTTTCATCTTCTTTCTAAATCATGCGAGCACTGTCTTTGCAAACGGGGGGAGCTGTGCCCCCACCCCCCGCTTGTTTTGGGATGTAAGCTGTGCAAGGCTTGCTTCAAAGGCAGATGGATCCTTTCGAAACAGCATGGCCAGTAGGGTTTGGGTTGAGGGCAGTGCGAACTGCCCCAAGTACCCTCGACCCTAACCCTTAACCCTTAACCCTAAACCCTAAACCCTAAACCCTAAGCCCTCTCTTCGAGCCCTTCTACAAACCTTTCCTAACGGAACCTAAGCCCGGAGCCTCCCTCAACCATTCAGAGGCAGGCGCCTGGCGAGGAGGCCCTTGGCCACGAGACGCAAGGCGGGCAGAGTCAGGGTTTAGGGCTTCTAGGGTTTAGGGTTTAGGGTTTAGGGTTTAGGGTTTTTAGGGTTTTTCAGGGTTTATAGGGTTTATAGGGTTTAGGGTTAGGGGTTTAGGGTTTAGGCTTCTGGGTTTATAGGGTTTTGGGTTCAGGGTTTTGAGGGATTTGGGCAAGGCGAGCGCGGCTCACAGAGCTTGGGAGTTTGAGGGTTTGCGGGATGCTCGTGGTAGACAGAGCCCGGTAATGACCCTAAACCCTAAACCCTAAACCCTAAACCCTAAACCCTAAATGGCTCTCAAGGGAGATTCTGGGTTTTAGGCAGCCTTCGAGTCTGTAGGGACTCCATTGTTTGGTTTGGAGGCGTCGGGGATTTGTAGGGACTGTAGGGGGGTTGTTTGGAGTACTGGGTCTCTCTAAACCCTAAACCCTAAACCCTAAACCCTAAACCCTAAGCCCTAAACCCTAAACCCTAAACCCTACACCCTAAACCCTAAACCCTAAACCCGAACCCCAGGGTGGACTGCTCCCAGGGCTGGGTGGGGAACCGGCGACGACAGCTCAGGCCCCGGAAGAGGAGAGCATGGCTCTAGGGCTTTGGGGGCTTAAGGGCTTTGGGCTGCTTTATTTTATTTCACTAATATTATTGTTATTATTTTTTCTATTTATATATTTCTTTATATATATATATATTTTTTTTTTTTTTTTTTTGGGGGGGGGGGGTTGTAGGGGTTTGGGGATTTGCGTTTATGGTCTTGGGGTTTAGAGCTCTTGGCGAGATTGAGGGTGTTGTGGGTCATGCATGCCTTCATTGTGGGAAGCTTTCCCTGTGCTTCCGCTGCGAGCTCCAATGCAATGACATATGGTGGTTTCGTTCACCCCCCAAATATAGTAGAACCCCCTTTCGAAAGAAATTCTAGGACCTAGGAGGGTACCCCGATTCTCGGAAACCTCCATATATATATATATATATATATATATATATGGTACCCCCCCCCCCCCCCAAAGATCTAGGTATTTTCGTGGTTTTGGGATCTGTTTTAGGGTTTTAGGGTTGGGGGTGGGGGGCTAGCTAAACATGTAAATCTCAATATGGACATGTCAATCTTGATATGTGCGAGTCTTCATATGTGCGTAGTCGTATTTTCAAATTGTGAGCCCGATTGAAAACGATTGAAACGATTGAAATTCAATCGGGGGCCCGATTGAAAAACGATTGAAACGATTGAAATTCAATCGGAGACCGGATTGAAGATTGAAGATTGAAGATTCCCGGAAAGCTTTTTTCTGGGAATCTTCAATCTTCAATCTTCAATCCGGCCCCCGATTGAACTTCAATCGTTTCAATCGTTTTTCAATCGGGCCCCCGATTGAATTTCAATCGTTTCAATCGTTTTTCAATCGGGTTCACGTCTTGTAAAGTCTCAGTTTTAGCTTTCGTGACGTCGCTATAAAGTCTCAGAAGTAAATTTCGTGACGTCGCTCAAGGTCATGTGTCACAAGCCCATAGATTTCGGGATCGTGGGCTAAACCTTTAAGATTCAATCGGGGGCCCGATTGAAAAACGATTGAAACGATTGAAATTCAATCGGAGACCGGATTGAACATTGAAGATTGAAGATCCCGGAAAGCTTTTTTCTGGGAATCTTCAATCTTCAATCTTCAATCCGGCCCCCGATTGAATTTCAATCGTTTCAATCGTTTTTCAATCGGGTCCCCGATTGAATTTCAATCGTTTCAATCGTTTTTCAATCGGGTTCACGTCTTGTAAAGTCTCAGTTTTAGCTTTCGTGACGTCGCTATAAAGTCTCAGAAGTAAATTTCGTGACGTCGCTCAAGGTCATGTGTCACAAGCCCATAGATTTCGGGATCGTGGGCTAAACCTTTAAGCCCTGTAGGCTATACGGTTAAGGTTTAAAGGTTTAGGGTTGAAAAGTTCAACAGTAAGCCCATAGAGTTTAAACCTTAAGGGTCCTAAACGCTTAACCTTTGAACCTTAACCCTATAGCCTATAGGGCTTACAGGTTAAGTGTTTAGGCACGGTTAAGGTTTAGAGGTTTAGGGTTGAAAAGTTCAACAGTAAGCCCATAGAGTTTAAACCTTAAGGGCCCTAAACGCTCAACCTTTAAACCCTATAGGCCATAGGGTTAAGGTTGAAAGGCTTAGGGTTTAAGATTTGGCATTAAAACACAAGCCCATAGAGCTTAAACCTTAAGGGTTTAAGGTTTAAGCATGTAAACGAGAACCCTAAGCCCTTTAGGGTCAGAACCCTGAAGCCCTGTAGGGCTCTAAAACGTTAAAAGGGTTTAACCCTATAGGCGTTGAAAGTATAAATGCCCAGACATTAGGCTCTCTTTAACCTTTCAGCCCTATAGGGTCTAAAGGCTTAGGGTTTTTCTTAAGCCTTGAGGGTTTAAAACCTTAAACCCTTAAGGTGGGCTTGGGTTTAAATGCCTAAATCTTGAATCCGAAAGCTTTAAACCTTCCCTATAGCCTATAGGGTTTAAAGGTTAAGCGTTTAGGCCCCTTGGTGTCTGAACTCTATGGGCTTACTTTTAAAACCTAAACCCTCAAACCTTAACCCTATAGCCTATAGGGTTTAAAGGTGAAGCGTTTAGGCCCCTTAAGGCGTAAACTCTATGGGCTTACTATTGAACTTTTAAACCCTAATCCTTTAAACCTTAACCCTATAGCCTATAGGGCTTAAAGGTTAAGTGTTTAGGCCCGTTAAGATTTACACTCGATGGGCTTAGGTTTAAATGCCTAAATCTTAAGGCCTAAACCTTTTAAGCCTTAACCCAAAAGGGTTTTACGGTTAAGAGTTCAGGTTTAAATGGCGGTTGAGGTTTAGATGCCTAAATGTTAAACCCTAAGCCTTTCAACCTTACACCCAAGAGGGTTTAAAGTTCAAATGTTTCGGTCGAATTGACGGCTTAGGTTTAAATGCCTATATAAACCTTAAACCCTAAACCTTTAAGACGCATAAATCTTGGAATAGGGTCTGACCCTACTTCTTAATCGAATTAATCTGAACCTTAATCGAGTAGGGTTTATTGAGCTGTTTACTTGTAAGTGAGGATAGTGTATAAATGAGTCTTATCTTTGAGAAATGATAACTCTTTTTGGGGGTCCTTTGGGAATGATGAGATGAACACCCACATACTTGAGAGTAAGTCGGGCTTTTGGAAGGTCCAGAACCCGTAACATAGTGAAAGGAGATTTGCTCACAGTATTCTCGCGTCTTCAGGAATACAGTGTTTCTGCACATCACCTTATGCACTTGAATACTTCCTGGGCTTATGGTATCTTGCTTATCTTTCCAATCAACGTCCTATACTCATCTGCACCTATCCGGGCCCATGCAAATCTTCAACTTCACATTGCCTCCGGGCCCACGCAAATCTTCAACCTGACATCGCCAAATCATGAAAATACCTAGATCTTTGGGGTGGGGGGGTAGCATATATATATATATATGTGTATATGTATATATACATACATATATAAAGAGACATAGATATTACACTACGTGGAACCTGATGCTGACTATGCTGATCATTAATGCCATTAGTATTGCCATGTATTTACAAGTACTCGCATGTTTTTTTCTTTATACATTTCTTGTGAAGCCTCCGCTGGCTCGTACTTTGAACCTGCATCACATCTCAAGGAAAGTCCAGGGCAGCGCACCCCCGACACCTAGGTTGGGTTTAGGGTTTAGGGTTTAGGCGTCTAGGCGTCTAGGCGTCTAGGCGTTTAGGGTTTAGGGTTTAGGGTATTGCATCAGCATTGGGGCTATCCTGAGCTGTCTGTCAGGGTCGGACTGGCTCGCGTGGAACCAAATACGTATGCCACCGCCCCTCCACACTGCTTTCAACCCCAGTTGCGAAACCCAAGGGTCGTTTAGATGTCTCCCCCGCCCTACACTCTGAACTCTTGAGCCCACGAACCCTGAACGAAGACCCTGCCTTCAGCTCCGTAAAACCTAAACCCTAAAACCCAAGTGTACTTGTCTACCAACCCAAAGGGTCCATATGCCTAGGTGGTATATACTTGGGCCCTAAAGCTACTACAAAAATACGGGGGCACCCCTTCTGTACCCCAAATAGAATAGAGAAACCCCTTATATAAAGGGACCCCCAGGAAGGGTATCCCTATTTTCGGAAAGCCCCACAGGGACCCTTTGGGCACTGGGGTGAGACATGCATTCTCGGAGCCGATCGGAGGAGGAGCACCTGGAGCCGGAGCTTCCGGATACCGGCGACGAGGTGGCGCAGGAGACAGGGGTTCAGGGTTCAGGGGTTAGGGTTTAGGGTTTAGGGTTTAGGGTTTAGGGTTTAGGGTTTAGGGTTTAGGGTTTAGGGTTCAGGGGGCTCTCTTCAGCCCTAAACCCTAAAGTCCTGAACCCGGTTAAGGGGGTGTTCGATTTTCAGACGTAGGCTCCTGGTTTGTGGCTTTTTGAGGCTTAGAGCTGAGGGCTAAGCTCTCAAGAGCTTTACATGGGGGACCCCGAGGAGCACCCCGACATCTCCGAGCCAGCCGCAGAGAGGATGGAGAAGGAGCCCGCTGTCATACAGCCCGTCTCCAAACCCCTCAGCTCTGAATAGGGTTTGGGGTTTAGGGTTTAGGGTTAAGGGTTAAGGGTTAAGGGTTAAGGGAAGTTACATGATGCCTCAATATGATCCCTTGCCTGCTTTAAAGGGTTCTGAAGTATGGGCCCTTGGGTTTTAATTTCAGGGTATAAGGGGTACTGTATATAAGGGTTCCCCTTTCTAAGGGGCCCATATGAAGGGACCATGAAACTATCCTAAGATAAGCCATGAAACGCGGCCTTTACAGAAGCAACGCGTGTCGGCACACGAAGATGAGCAATTGGACTCTAAACCCTAAAGACCCGACCCTAAACATTAACCCCAAATCCGAAATATAGACCCTACCGACCCCACATGGTCTACCGACCCCGCCGTAAACCGTAAGCACCCTAGGAAAGCCAGTGTGGGGGTGGCCGGGGTTGGGTTGACAAGCGACGCACGCGCCAGGAGGCGCTTGCGAGTGCTCACCGTCGTGCGACACCTATAGGCCTAAACCCTAAATCTTGCGGGTGTAGGGTTTAGGGTTTAGGGTTTAGGGTTTAGGGTTTAGGGTTTAGGGTTTAGGGTTTAGGGTTTTTTGTTGGTGTTAAGGGGGTAGGGTTTAGAGGTTCAGGGGTTCTAGGGTTTAGGGTTCAGCTCTTAACTCCCCTGACCCCTAAACCCTAAGCCCTAGAACCTCTTAACTACAAAAAGAGAGGAGGCGGGGGCCCCCGAAACTGGGGATCTGCAGATGGACGAGGCCACTCAGGAGGACTGGCTTAGGGGTTGCGGGCTTCAGGGCTTCGGGCGGTTTTGTATTTAGGGTCTACTTGGAGGTCATGGTACTTATAAATTGACCTTTTACAACTGTACTTATAGCCATATTAGGGCACTTTAGGGGCTGATAAGTGGGTTATAAGTGCAGTTAGAATTGGTTAACAAGTACCATGAACCTCCAAGCAGGGTGTTATAAAGTGCAGGGTAGATGGCACCAAGTATACGGTGTAGGGTAACCCTAAACCCTACACCCTAAACCCTCAACCCCGCCGACTTCTATGGCCCCATGCAAGACGGAGGACCACGAGGAGGCGGGGCCCGAGAATCCAAAAGCTGGGGAGCCGCAGATGGGAGAGGTCGCTGAAAAGGACTGCTTTAGGATCCCTAAGGGTCCATTTAGGATCCCTAAGGGTCCATGTACCTAAACTTGGGCCTTAACGTACCTCCTATTTAGGGACTTTAGGGCCCAAGTACACAATAATGAGGTGCATGGACCCTTAGGGGATTATATGCTTTAGGGTTTCGGGTGGTGCCGGGTATTGGGATTAGTTTGGAGGAGCGCATAGGGTTCAAGGGTGGTCGAGGGTGGAGGGTAGATAGGAGTGCAGGGCTATTTGCGGTGAACTTTAGTCCTTTTGCAGTCATCCTTTGCGTTGCTGGCCTGCAAGCCTGTAACGCAAAGGCGCGAAGGGCGTAAGGTTTCGGATTATCCTGAAGCTAAACCCCTAAACCCTAAACCCCTGCACCCGACGTGTACCGTCTCTAGGGTTTGGGGTTTAGGGGTTTAGGGTCTAAGGCTTAGCCCTAGAGCCCTGAACCCGGCGTACCTCACGACTCGAAAACCTCCCTCCCACAAACCCTATAGACCCGGCGTGGTCTAGGATGGTTAGACTCAGTAGTAGAGTAGGTAACCTTTAACCTTTTTGGGGTATTCTAATCCCAATAAAATCCCAAAGGTTAACCTCCAATTCCCCCAGATTCCTGGACAACTAAGTAGAGGGGCCCTAAGGGTCCATGTACCTCATTATTGTGTACTTGGGCCCTAGAGTCCCTAAATAGGAAGTACTTTAAGGCCCAAGTATTCCACATTTAGGTACATGGACCCTTAGGGTAAGTAGAGGGGTGCATACTGTGAACAGCAAGCCCTTCGATGTAGCAGTGCTTGGAAAGGGATCCTGATGTAGAGCCCAGGCCATGGCCGAAACCTTGCAACTCCTGACTGTAAACCCAAAGCCCTGAACCCTAAGCCCTAAACCCTAAACCCTAAACCCTAGCCCTAAACCCTAAACCCTAAAACCTAAACCCTAACCATAAACCCCAAACCTATTTTCTTTTCAAACCGCGAAGGACGGCGACGAGGTGGCAGCAGGCCCCGAGCAAGTCAGTCAAGCTGCTTGGGTGCAATATTGACTTTCCCTAAGTTTTACGGTTTAGGGTTAGGGTTTAGGGTTTTGGGTTTTGGGTTTTGGGTTTAGGTTTTAGGGTTTAGGGTTCAGGGTTCAGGGTTTAGGGAGGGCCCATGTCCCTAAACAGGAAACGCTTGGGCCTTAAAGTACTTGCTATAGGGAGATTGGGACCCAAGTATATAATATTCAGGTACATGGACCCTTAGGGTTTGGAACCTTCCCTCACCTCAAACCGTGTTTACGTCTTTATCCCCAAGACCAATGGGCCTTTAAGGGTTGTTTTTTTGGTTTCCCTTATAGGGTTTAGGGTTTAGGGTTTAGGATTTAGGGTTTAGGGCTTAGGAAAATATTTTCAGGAGGGTGGTTCAGGGCCATCCTAGAAGAAAGCCACACAAGAAGGCTGGCTCACCTTCACCTTCGATATCGCCGCTGTCGTGGGGCTCTTCCTCCTCCAGCTCATCCTCCGACTCTTCGGAGAGCTCATCGGAGGACGGAGAGGGTTTTTAGGGTTTAGGGTTTAGGTTTAGGGTTTAGGGTTTAGGGTTTAGGGTTTAGGGTTTAGGGTTTAGAGCTCATCGGAGGACGGAGGGTAGCTAAGTTTGAGGTTTTGGGCTCGGGGCGTACCCTAGTTAGGGCCGAGGGCTTAGGTCTTAGGGCTTAGGGCTTAGGGTTTAGGGCTACAGAGCCCAAACTTCACCCCAAGACCCAACTCAACACCCGAACCTTTCCCCACAATCCCCAAACCCTAAACCCTAGCCCTAAACCCTAAACTCCTAAACCCCAAACTCCTAAACCCTAAACTTCTAAACCCTGAATTCTTAGCAACTTCCCAAAAGCCCATGCCCAGGAGCCGCGAGCCGCGCCCAAGCGGCGTCCCAGGCGCGAGCGGCCGGCCGCGGGCAAGGCCGGTTGTTGCTGCGTTGAAGCTCTTGTTTAGTAGGGTTTTGGGGGTTTTTGGGGTTCAGGGTTTAGGGTCTAGGGTTTGGGGTTTAGGGTTTAGGGTTTAGGGGGTTTAGGATTCAGGGCTAGGACTCAGAGTTGGCACTTGTGCCCATTTTTAAGTCTCTGGGATTCCCTTCTATATGATTCGTGCTACTCCCACAACTTCGGACCTGGGTTATGAGTACGATGCTGGCCGTTAGAAGAAAGGTGGGATGATCCCCCTCATACTAACAGTCCTGAATTGGGATTCTGGTGCCCCCCAATAAAATCTCCTTAAGGACTGTTAGTGTCAGGGAGAACGTCCCAACCTTACCCCCTCACACTCCTATTAACAACCCTATGCAGCCCCATAAGAAACCTTGTTTGAGAACAGCTCGAGCACCCCTGAGTTCTCCCAAACCCTGTAGGGACCTTAAGAACGCCCCTAAACCCTAACTCCTAAACCCTGCAGGAACCTGAAAATACCCCTAAACCCTAAACCCCAAGCCCTAAACCCTAAACCCTAAACCCCAAACCCTAAACCCTAAACCCTAAACCCTCAAGACAAGGCCAAGAGAAAGGCGACCCCGAAGGCAAAGAGGAAGCCTGCAGCAGCCCGAGGTGCCACCGAAGGGGCGTTTAGGGTTTAGGGTTTAAAGTAGTTTATAGTTTAGGTTTAGGGTTTAGGGTTTAGGGTTTAGGGTTTAGGGTTTAGGGTTTAGGGTTTAAGTTTTAGGGTTTAGTGTTTACGGGAGCAAGTGGGGGAAATGTGGGGTGATTGTAAGTACTTAGGTATTTCGTGGGGCTTTGGAACGCACCTTTCACGCCAGCCCACCCCCACCCCAAGATCCGAAACCCTTCTGAAACCCTAACCCCTACGCCCTAACCCCAAGGGCCCAAGACCCCATTATGTAAGGCATTTTTTTATCTGTTTTGGTGCACAACGACCTGATTATTTTGGGTCTTGGGCCCTTAGGGTAAGCCACAACCTGAGCCAGGCGTCCGGGATCTCACTCCACCACCGCCGGCGCGGAAGCCAAAGCCCAAGCCTACCCTGGAGAAGGACGGCGGAGCCACATTGCGACATGGGAGGCTTTCTAAATCATAGTCCTGTTTGAGGATCCTGTTGGAATACGAAACAACATATACATACTTAGGAGCCTCCGGCTCAGGCGACCCAAAAGGTCCGCCCAAAGTTCAAATCCACGTGTGGGGGGGGGGGGGGGGGGGGGGAGGGTGCCGGGGGGGGGGGGGGGGTGGGGGAGGGGGGGGGTGGGGGGGGGGGGGGGGGTGGGGGGTGGGGGGTGGGGGGGGGGGGGTGGGGGAGGGAGGTGGGGGGTGTCACTGCACTGACAAAGGCGCCGCTTCGGAAGCGGGTGAAGGGTGAGGGACGTGCTGAGCAGGTTGCTTTCCGCCCTTCGAGCGGGGGTGGTGGGGGGTGGGGGGTCAGAAGCGGGGGTTTTGTGAACCGCCTATGGTCGGTGCGTTTACGCCGTGCGGGTGGCGCGGTCCTCCATGAAAAAGTTGTGCACCGACCCTCCCCCCACCACATTTTAGGGTTTCTTGGTCTGCGAGGGAGGGGAGGGGGAGGGTTCCCTCCCCCAAAACCAGCCAACACGCCGCCAGGGTCGGCGGATATAAGTACCAACAGGCCCATAGTTCACATCGCCGCTAAAAGTTCAAGTAAGGGCTGCCTGCCCTACTCGTCCCCGCCCACGGCCTTTACTATAAAAGGATGCTAGTCGGAGCCCCAAACAGGGAACCCCAAGAACATAGTTGATATATAAAAGGAATAAAAGGACCCCGGCAGGTATATTCCTTTTACAATGCTTGGGGTTCCCTGTTTGGGGTTCCTTTTTTGCTAGGGTCCCTCGAGCATGTTTCGATGTAGGCCTGCGGGATTCAGTGCTTTGTGACATTACATGCCAGCTAGTGCGCTCCTACATAATAATGGTTTAACGATATGGTAATATAGAGTATTATCGTACAGTACTATTCATATTTCATAATATAGTGCAGTGTTAGAATAATACTTTCCTTTGTAACAGGGTTTGCCGCCCGAGGTTTTGGCAGTGCTCGAGCGAGCAGCTGAGCCCCTCACGGCTATCGCAGTTGCGCGACAGTGTGGCCTAGAGAAGGCGGCGGAGGTGAACCCCACGCTGTATCTAGACCGCTTACGAAAGCTTTGTCTCATCAACCTTTGCTGGCTATTAATATATCTCTAAGATATACAAACAATTAAGGCTCATGGTCGAAGAGCAGTTCAGGTATGCTTTGCTTTCGGCCGGGAGTATATGTCTGAGCCGGAATGGTCAGCAGCCTCTATGGCATCTACCAGGTCGGGAGACAGAGCCGGCGCCGCGACCGGAGCCTCCGAGTGTGCGAGAGGAAGCACGCCATAGTCACCCCGTGGGCCCTTGGAATATTTTATATGTTGAGGGTTTAGGGTTTAGGGTTTAGGGTTGTTTCCCTCATTGCCAGGATTCAGAGAAGGCTCTTCTTCCCTTGTTCTTTGGCTTTGGTTCCCTTATGTGGCCCTTTTAAACCAGCTTCTACCTTTGTCATTCCCACCTTCCTCTTGGGGTTCCAGCTTCTTCTTGGGTTTAGATTGGGTTTGAGAGGATAGTGTTTTTAAAGATTTCTTGTTCCGGGTTTTCAGGGCCATCCGAGGTCAGTTGGGAGATACCATTCTGCGTGCCCTGAGGGAAGAAGCCTCGCCTCTGACAGCTGTTTGCATTGCCCAGCGCTGTGGCTTGCAGAAAGCGGCCGAAGTCAATCCGACCCTCTACAAGATGCTTTCTTGGCCAATAGTTGAACTTTTAAACTTTTTGGGTTTCCTCACTTAGTAGGAATATTAAAGTTTAACCTTTTTTCCCCGTGGTTATTGGAGAAGCCAGGATGCGGGGCATGGGCACGGTGGTCCACACCGAGGGAGGCGGAAAGCCTGCCTGGTCCTTGCCCAACTGACCTGAGCAGGCATGAGGGCCCTTGCCACCAGCTTGCGAAAAGAGGTGATCTAACATGGATGCCTCAGACATCATGGATTCAAACAAGAAGCCCGATATAGCCCAGAGATGTTGAGGGACAAGGCTTTGCATTAGGGTTTAGTGCTTCGTTGGCTGAATTCCGAGTTTGAGAGGCGACCTTGCAGCCTCTCAGCGAGGGTTGCCGGGCGCGTGGTGGACAATTCTAGGGCATCCAATTCTCAGTGGTCACAATCTGTTGGAGTGGGTGATTGCAACCAAGGCATCCGAACAGTATTCCCTACTACTAAGCAGTAGGTACCAGGATGGGCCATAATGGCCTGTAATCCCTTTAAAGAAAACCTGTTATGGGGTTGATTATGGCGATTTTAAGGCCTAATCGCCCATCCTAAACCCTAAACCTAAACCCTAAACCCTAAACCATGCAAGGAACCAGTAGGTAATCACCCCCCAAATCTTTGCCGCCCATGGCGCGCAGGCACCCTCAGCCCGTGTAGTTAGAAGAGCATCCAGCTAGCCCAGGGTTGAAAGGCCCTTTAGTTTCCCAGCTACATTAGGGTTTGGGGTTTGGGGTTTAGGGTTTAGGGTTTAGGGTTGAGCGTGGTTTCCGAAAGCCCCAAGGTCGAAGCAACGTTCTCCAGTCCTTCCCAAGGAGTAGCCAGAACCTGGGGCATGTGGGCCAACTCCTTGCAGAGCAAGTCGAGCTAGCGGATGTGCTCCGGACTGCACTTTTTTTTGACGGGCTACTTTTTTTTTTTTTTTTGGGGGGGGGTCCCATGTTAAGGGGATTCTATGATTCTATCTGGGGTATAAAAGGGGTGCCCCTCTTTTGGGAAAGACCCATTTGAGTGTTTTAGCAGTGCAGGAATGGGTAGACCTTGGGAACCAAACGAGCAGCTAAACGGGTTTATGGTTTCATATACCCAATAGGAATTATCGTAGTACACCCCCCCCCCCCCACATTTTAGGGATCACCTCACCTCGTCCCAAGCCAAGGGTAAGGTTTAGGGCTGAGTGCTCAGAGTTACAGTTTAGGTTCCCACCCTTAACCCTAAACTCTAAACCCTAAACCCTGAACCCTAAACCCTAAACCCTTAACCCTAAACTCTACACCCTAAACCCTGAACCCTAAACCCTAACCCTTGCAGGGCTCCTGCTTCGAGATTGACGCTGTCGTCCTGTTTATGAAACCCTTATAGAGACCCCGAAGCCCTCGTTGAACACTGAGAAACCCCTTAATTCTATTAGGGTTCAGGGTTTAGGGTTTGGGCTTAGGGTTAAAAACCCTTGAAGCCCTTATACAGCACTGACAAACTTTAAGAACACCCTAAGCTGCTTGTAGGTGGTGGTGGTGAACAAAGTGGACCTGGCCAGCCAGGACGAGCTCAGCACAACGCTGCAGGTGACCCTAAACACTAAACCCTAAACCCTAAGCCCTAAACCCTAAATGCTTGGGGAGCTGGGGGTTATGAAGCTTTTTCGCGAATCGTGCCTAGGTTCTGAGCTTTTGTTGGTGTCCTTAAACTCTACACCCTAATACCTAGGGGTAGGGCCATCTAGCATGTACGCATGTATGCCTATAAACCCTTTAAACCCTAAAGACCTTTAAACCCTATAAACCCGAAGCCCTCAACCACTTGACAACAGTTCTGCAAAAGTACAGCCACCGAAGACGCACAAGGGTTCTCAAAATTGGGGTCCTTTTGAGGTCCTTCTTTGGCCTTATGCCCTTGAACTTCTGCCTAAACCCTATAAACACTATAAACCCTAAACCCCACACCCCGAAACCCTAAACCACCCCATAGACCCAAAAAGCGACCTAAACCCTACACCACCCTATTAAACCTGAGAAGGGACTCTAAACCCTAAGCCCACCCTGTAAACCCACAACGGGCCCCCTAATCTCCAGAACTACTCGTACCCTAAACCCTGAACCCTAAACCCTAAACCCTAAACCCTGAACCCTAAACCCTAAACCCTAAACCCACAAGGTGGTGCAAGCGCTGAACCCCAAGGCTGAGGTCTGCCAGCTGCTTGGTCTATGTGAGGGTCTGGAGTTTAGGGTTTAAGGTTTAGGGTTTAGGGTTTACTGTTTGGGTTTAGGATTTAGGGTGTTTAGGGTGTTTAGGAGGTTTAGGAGGTTTAGGAGGTTTAGGGGGTTTAGGAGGTTTAGGGTGTTTAGGGGGTTTAGGGGGTTTAGGGGGTTTAGGGGGTTTAGGGCGTTTAGGGGGTTTAGGGGGTTTAGGGGGTTTAGGGGGTTTAGGGGGTTTAGGGCGTTTAGGGGGTTTAGGGGAGTTGGGGTGTTTAGGGTTGATTCAGAGTTTGGGGTCGGAGACTTTGCGGCTCAGGAACTGTAAGGGGGCGCGGGGGGTCCCTTGCAGAGAAGGGGGGGTCCATAAGGTTTAGGGTTTAGGGTTTAGGGTTTAGGGTTTAGGGTTTAGGGTTTGGGGGGTCCATGGACACCCTTTGGCCCTTGTTGACTGTAGGGTTTTAGGTGTAGGGTTTAGGGGTGAAGGCGTAGGCTTTATAAAGTCGCCATGCCATAAAAGGGTACGCTTGTGATTATGCTGTTACTGGGCGACCAGGCACCACAAACACCCTTCCTGCCAAAGCCGTGAGCACGGCCCAACTCCTGAAACTCCCGTAGGACCCGGAGTAGGCCCTTCCCTAAGGGTCCATGTACCTAAATATGGAATACTTGGGCCTTAAAGTACCTCCTATTTAGGGACTTTAGGGCCCAAGTACACAATAATGAGGTACATGGACCCTTAGGGCTTACTTCCGTTTTTTAGCGTTGGAGTTCCCTTAAAACCCCCTGAACACCAAAAGGGTGCCCCTGTTTATTCCCAGGCTACTCCTGGGCCACCCTAAACCCGGAAACCTTAAACCCGAAACCCGAAACCCTAAACCCTAAACCCTAAACCCCAAACCCCAAACCCCAAACCCTAAACCCTAAACCTTTGGGTGCAGGCTCCCCTGCACGCGCACGCAAGGACGAAGTTTGGGCAGGTTGCCGTGTCGACAATTCTCCCGCCGGTGCCGGCGGGGCTTCGTGTGCAGCTGGAGGGGGGCGGAGCTGGATGCTTGGGCGGCATGTTATTTGGTCCTGACAGTTTGGGGTTTAGGGTTTAGGGTGTAGGGTTTAGGGTTTAGGGTTTAGGGCCCTACGCCCCATCCCGAAACCCTAGTGTCAACTCCAAGTATCCTAAACCCTTAGAGCCCTTAAACCCTAACAACCCTCAATGCCCTAGAGCCCTAGACCCTCCCCTAAGGCTCCATGTACCTAAATGTGAAATGCTTGGGCCTGAAATGTACCTCCTATTCTGGCCCAAGTACACAATAGTGAGGTACATGGACCCTTAGGGTAGTTTTACGTTACCCAAAACCCTAAACCCTAAACCCCAAACCCCAAACCCCAAGCCCGTGCTTCAGGACTAAAGCACCACAGATCCCTCCTCCAAGCTCTCGGCCCCCAAAACATAAAGCTTTGGGTTTCAGGGTTTTAGGGTTTTAGGATTTCAGGGATGTAGGGTGTTAGGGTTTGAGGGTCTTAGGGTTTTAGGGTTTAGAGTTTACAGGTTCGGGGTTCGTATGGATTTCGGGCTTAGGGTCGGGACGTTTTGGTGTTAGATTTGGGGTCTCAGGGGCTTTCTTTTTTCTTCGGCGATTATTATTATTACTATTATTAGTATTATTATTATGATTATTATTATATATATATATATTATTTTCTATTCGTTTTTTTTGGGGGGGGGGGTCGGAGATTTGCCCTCAATGGTAACCCGAAGCCCTAGAGTTCCTCGGCGTTTGAGAGTGAAGCGAGGACCCAGAGTAGGACCTTGTTTCACTCTTTTTAGGGTTTAGGGTTTAGGGTTTAGGGTTTAGGGTTTAGGGTTTGGGTTGCCTGAACAAAAAACCCTTGCAAAGCCAACAATGGGCACTTTTTTATTCCTAGGTGACATTGTTTCTAGGTTGCATTTGGGCCACCTTAAGCTCTATACGCCTTAAACTAAAACCCCCCCAAAAAAACCTAAACTCTAAAACCTGAAACCCTTTGCCACCCCTAGGTTCCTCCCAAGTCTCGCAAGGATATTGTTCCTAGGTTACCTTCGGGCCACCTTAAACCCTAAGCCCTAAACCCTACAAACCCTATAAGCCCGAAACCCTAAACCCTTTGCTATCCCTTGGTTCCTACCCAAGTCTCGCAAGGATACTCCTGGACGCAGACGGCATCGGAAATCCACCTCCGCATGCCCATCCCGGAGTCACGCGCCACGGTTTAGGGGTTTAGGAGTTTAGGGGTTTAGGGTTTAGGGTTTGGGGTTCAGGGTTTAGGGGTTTAGGGTTTAGGGCTTAGGACTTCGGGTTTAGGGGTTTAGGGGTTGAGGGGTCTTGGAGTGCAGGGGTTTAGGGGTATAGGGTTGAAGGTTTAGGGTTGAGGGGTCTAGGGATTTAGGGCTCAGGGGATTTTAGGGCTTTAGGTTGAAGGTTGCAGGTCTCCAAAGGCTCTGAGACGTAAGCCCTCTCTTGGAATTTCACTCCGAAACCCAGACTTCCAGGCGCTAGGGTTCAGGGTTCAGGGGTTCAGGGTTCAGGGGTTCAGGGTTCAGGGGTTCAGGGGTTCAGGGGGGTTCAGGGGTTCAGGGGTTCAGGGGTTCAGGGGTGCAGGGGTGCAGGGGTGCAGGGGTTCAGGGAAGACCCTGCCGCGGCGTGGCATGTGGTTTTGGCTTCGGGTTTCTAGAACTTAGTAGTAGAGTAAGTATCCTTTCACCATTTGGGGCTCTCATATTCCTTTCATAATCCCAAAGGTTAACCTTTAGTTCCCCAAGAATACTGGACAACTATGCTTAGGTTGTAGGGTCGAGCGCTGAGAGCCCAGATGCGCAAGCAAGTTGTCAAGGCGAGAGAATACCCTAAGGGTCCATGTACCTAAATATTAAATACTTGGGCCTTAAAGTACCTCCTATTTCGGGACTTTAGGGCCCAAGTACACAATAATGAGGTACATGGACCCTTAGGGATAGGTTTGTTTGGTACTGAGGACCCTGGACTCGTATGTCGTATGATGCAGACCCTATCACCTTTCCTAAACCTTGGACCCTGAACG